AAAGAATCATACATGGAAGAGATAGGAGGTTTTTTTTACTTTGCTTTCTAAATTATTTCTGTAGTTTCAAAATTCTTTCTGTAGTTTCAATTTTTTATGAACACACATTGCTTTCATATTTAGGGAAAGATAAATGGAAGAAATTGTCTGTTTCAGAACTACTCAGAAAAAATTTTTTTAAGAAAAAAAAGATATAGATTTCTCCACTTCTGCTTTCATAAGACTTGCAACCAGTCCTCTGAGCACCTTAAAGTCACCTCGGCCAATAGCCCCTCTTCACCTCAGCCCTGGAGCAGCTGAAGTCCCAGTAATGCTCCTTAGAATGACTCCCTAAATTCATTCTGCAGCCCTGAAATCCTTAAGCCCAGCCACTTCCCAGAGTCAAAGTTAGCCAACACAGGTGTAATTAGCAGCAAGAGGACAACAGTTAAGCTAGTAATAAAGCAGCTGCTGATGTGAGCACTAAGCAGCTAGGGGAACCTGCTCCAAAGTACAGCTCCAGAGGAAAAGGAAGTAAGTGAGCACGTACCCTCAGAACTGTATTTTCTCCTTTGGCTATGGCTGCAACAGTCTCACAGCCTGATTGGGAGGGGGAGAGAATGGGGTAAATAAACCACAGTAGCTGCTTCTTCTCTAAGAAAAAGGTGTTTAGAGAAGCTAGAGCTTGGAAAAAAGAGATTAGAGCCCAGAGCAGGAATTCGAGTTTAGAAGACAGGAAAGAAACCAGGGATTACTGTTTCCTTGACTAATTGAAAGCCCTCAAAGCAGATGAACTGCAAAAGAATTAGGAAGGCAGGGAGAAGAGATTCCTACCATGGAGAAAAAAGCAAAGCTAGGACTGACACAGGGCATCATGTAGTCAGAGACTCCCACAACTATCGATTCCACCCCCCAGCCCCACCTCTCTTTTGGATCAAGCACCCTAGTAACAGGAGTGTACCTCCCTTTAAGAGGCATGTCCCAGATCCCCAATCTGGGTTACAAAATTGTCAAACAAGAGGAGAAAACATTCTTCACTGAAAAAAATAATTCTTCCCAGGCCTCTTTTAAATAGTGAGCTTCCAATACACCATCTGAGTGCGATTCAATATAAACATTACAGGAATAAATGCAACAGGCAGATTGAGTCACCTGTGAAAAATAACACACACTAGCTATATGCCCAACAGTCTTCTAAGTGCCCTCCTACATTTAGTTATTTAATCCTCACATCACTCTTGGGGGAGATACTATTAGTATCCCTACTTTTAAAAAAAGTGAACTGAGGCATGGGGAGGATAAACAACTTGTTCAAGAACTAAGAAGTCATAAACCCAGGATTCAAACCCAGGCAGTGTGACTCCAGAGGCAACACTCAAACCTCATGCTATACTAGTTATCTCTCGTGGGGTATTTTGCCCTTAGCACCTGGCTCCTTGCCCTGGCAGAGAAAAGAGACCCTCATTGTAGACCCTAACTGTGCCAACCCCACTATCTCATCTAGCCAGCCGCTGCTGTCCAGCAGGCTTCATGGGTGCTAGGTGAAGAGAGATTATCATCGTTAATCATGAAACTGACAAGGGCATGAAACATCAAGGTCAAGGCTCTGGGGAAAGCTTTGAACATAAGACGAGTCCTGGTCTCATGCTGGTTGGCTGTTTCCACGTGCTGTGATATATATATCTCCACTGAAGTGAGAAGTACTGACAGGATTCCATAGGAAAGGTGCAATCCAGAAGCAGAAGCAAGAGTTAGCATTCCTTGAAGTTCCCCAAAACACGTGGAGAACAGCATCCCAGACCTTTTGGGAAGCTATGCAACCTATAAACATGCTTAGAAATACAGATGCATGGGGACAGGAAATCATGCTTCATCTCCCCACAAACCCTCCTGCTGTCTCTAAAAGACAAGCATGGAAATGCTCAGGTGAAAGCTGTCCTCAAACAAATGAGCCTACAGGGAAAACAGTTTACCAAGTACAAAGGCTAAATCTGTAAGAAAGTAAGATGCCCAAGACACCATGAGAAGCCAAGTGTCAGGGCTCATTCCCCTCAGGCCTGTAGGAAATAAAGCCAAGCAGCACTGGCTCCCTCTGCAATTTCTACAATGAACAGCAGTCTCCCAAAACTTAGCCCAACAGATAAAGCTGCTAACATTACCAGCTCCAAGTAATTCCTGCACCTGCAACTGTGCCTTACTCATCGTGCGTACAATGAAGTTTGTTCTAACTTCCATCAGGAAGCCAGTGTGCAAACATCCCAGGAGACAGAGATTCCATTTAAGAAAGCAGTAAGAAGCTTCTGGGCTACACCGGTAGTCTAGCCCCAAGAACAGACATTTCACTAAGTCTACTTGTTTTAGACAGGACATTCCACCCTGGAGACTTTGTATTAAATTTCCATGTCAAAGAATTATTTATCACTCCCACCACGCAGCAGAGTCCAGGATTATAACTATATTCCCAAGATAAATGCTGAGAGAGAGCAGTCCCTCCTCTTTACCAGAACTCACAACATTTCTTCTCTGACATTCGAAGATTTGGGGGTTTGGTTTCATAGCTGTTTTTATTCTGTTCTGAGGAAGATGCCCCAGACATGGCAGCTCTTC